GCACACGAGCACATGTTCCAGCTGTCCCTCAAGCGGCAGCGAGCCGCCAGCGCCGCCGACGCCCCGCCGCCGAAACAGCCCACGAGAGCGAGGACGTGGTCAGGCACGACATCGTGCCATCGCCGCAGGCTGACCAGCCAGATGCGGCCATGTCGACCTTGCCGCTGCCGCGCGGTGTCGTGGCGAGGTCGCGGTGCGGCCCGCGCCAGTCTCTGGCCGCGTCGGCAGTACATGCGCGGAGTAGAGGACTGACTTCCAAATGAAATGTCATGTGCCGCGCTCATGCATGCACACATGCATACAAACATACCTACACGCATACACACACGCATACACACACATTAATACATACATACACGCGTACATACATACATATACACGCACGCACTGCATACATGCATAAACATATGCGTGCATACAAATACATGCGTACATACTCACATGTACATGCGTACGTACTCACATGTACATGCACGCACTGCATACATACATGCATACAAATATTTACGTACATACATACACGCAAACAATATACATACATACATACGGGAGACGGCCGGTACCGCGCCGCTCTTACGGGGTGTGCCGGCTCCGCCGTGAGACTTTAAACGCAGGTCACCGAGCAGATCGACAAGCTCAAGTGCGTCAGGGAATGGTTCGGTGCCAGTACCCTGCCCGCGTGAATGTCTGGTGTGGTTCTTGCCTGTAGGTGCCTGGCTTTATTAGAAATTTGGCCATGGGCGATTTCATAGCGTATTGCACGTGTACTGCCTTCCTATTGCGTTTGTAGTGTCGTGCGCGCGTTTGTGTGGGTGTAACCAAGTGACGACTGGTTTCAGCTGCAGCGGAGGGTTTTGCTCTTGTTTATGGGAGTTTACGGGCGCGCCGACTGCGGTGGTCACGGCCCACCGGATCATGAGAAGTGGTGACCAGATACCTACGAACAACATAATTATGTCTTTCCACCGACCACATCTACCTTCAGACATCCGTGTTGGCTACGCTGTCGTCGAGGTTTGGGTGTATGTTCCCAGTCTTATGCGCTGCTTTCGTGTCAGCGTTTTGGCCACACCAAACCACACTGCCGAAACAGACCAGCCTGTAACAAGTGCGCGTCGTTCGAGCATGAAGGGAAAAGATGATGAGATATAGGGCCCAGTGAGACATTGTGCAGTCCTGGTGTGTGAGCTGTGGCGCTGGTCAGGTACCTCACACCACCCTTGACCGGAGCTGTCCAACATTCATGAAAGAGAAGGAAATCATCTTGGTGAAAACTGCTAAAAACATCTCATGACTATATGAGGCCAGTCACCCTACGACGTCCCATGCAGATAAAGCCCAAAGCTCAGCACAACGGCCCACTTCCGTCGACCAGATGTCAGCTCTTTAGCTCACCTCGCCCCTGAGGTCTCACGGACTCTCAGTGGTGCCAGCGGGGCAGGCGGCTGGCGCCCAGCCGGAGCCCTCGGCTCCTTCCCCGACACCGGCCTGCTCGGCAGCGGCAGGTGAGGGGTTGCTGCTGAGAGTTCATATCATGACGGGATCGCAGTACTCTGTCGCTCGTATGATTCTCGTCCTTGTCGCTGGATGTCCGTGCTCGCGGTTCATTACCTTTCGTTGTAAGCATAAGCTATCTTTATAGACAAAACGTTTCGCAATCAGTTCAAAAAAGCATTTTACCGCTTCCAGTTCACAGCTTCCGATATGTTTCTTTTTATGTTCTATATCGTTCGTTGCGGCTGTCATTCGCGTTCTTATGAAAGACCTAAACACTTCCATGTTTCAGGATCGGGCATGAAGGCTGTGACGTCATAACAGTGAGTGATTGTCCGGCAGCGAAGGTGACGTCAGCAACGACGCCGTTCACGACGACACGCTGGGAGATTGCAGGGTTGGAGATCGCCGACAACAGAAAGGAACACAGAAACCATCGGCAGGAAAGGAAATGTCATCGAAGAAGGCGGCAAAACAACGGAACAAGTCGACGGCGAGAAAACATCATCAAGGGGGTGACACGCAAGACAAGACCGGACAGTCGAGAAGAATGATGTCGACAGAAAAGTGTGAGTGTATCCGAAATTTGACCTGCCCACACATAAGCGACTGTGTAAACATGTTAGAGGAGAAAACACTAAGTGCACGCGCTTGGCGAGACCTAGAATAAGGTGTCTATAACATGGTTAAGAACCTTTCTACCAAAGACTGAGTCTGACAGGTTAACGACGACTCTTACATTACGTGCAATGGCTGCACTAGATTAAAGTGGTTTAACCTGGTGTACAAGGAAATCGTCAAGGGTGTCATGATGACGCTTTAGATTGCTGTACATGGTTGACAGCCGGACACTTGACCTGGCTCGCGGGAGCAGAATGAAAAACGATGTGCTTCACAACACAGGCTGAACGTTATGCCTAAGTTTTCAAGCGGCAGAGGAGAGTTCTGAGCGACGAAAAGAGCACTGACCAGCTACCTAAATCCCGAGTGCACAAAGGGTGACGAGGATACAGCTTTACTTCGCTGGCTGACGGATATCAGTCGCCGGTGGTCTTCACAGGATGTACGTTGTTCCGGGTGACTGTAGATAGCTCTTCGAGGGACCGTCCGGACACCTGCACAAGATGCTCTGGTGGAGACTCTCTACATCCTGCTAACTGCTGCGCGGAACTGAAGGCTGCTGCAGACAGGAGCGCGCGATGTCAAAACTGAAATCCCCCGTTTGCGTGAATCCACAATCGACTGTGTCCCCGCTAGGAAGGAGAAAGGGAAACCAACGACACCGTGCTGGTCGGTTAACCGCGCGGGTCTCCGCTTGGGGCGCCTGGCTGTGCGCAGCGACTTAAGGGGTCAAGGGGCGGCGGCGCTGAACCACAGTCAGGACGGCGAGGGGTCTCACCGGTTACACTTGGCCGTATGGGGGGCGTCGTCCGCCCCGTATAGCACTGGGGTAGCCCTGGCGGCGACCACCTCCCGAGGGAGTGTTGGGCCGTCCCCCAGTTGGGCCCCGAGGTGGGTGGTGAGCCCCGGTGCCGAATGCTTGCTAGAAATCGCATGGTTCTCAAAACTCAGCAAATACCCGGCCCCCGAAAGGAGATCGGACAGCGCTGGGGCCCGGGTGCTTGGGGGATTCGGTCTCCCTTGCCCTCGGATTCTGATCTTCTCCAGCGGAGATGTAAAGCTCTCCACCCTGCCACCGTTCCAACGACGCAACGGCTGTGACAAGTTTGGAGACATCACGAGATGTGACGGATGGCAACATCGAGGTAGAGTTCGCCAATGGTCTAGAGGCTAAGCGTGCATTAGACGCAAAGAAGTTAAGTTATAGTATTCGTGATGAGAACCGGAAACATAACAAAACCGTGGCTTTCACAGTAGCACTACACACCACAAAAAACTCGTCTAGAGGCGTCGTAAATCCCCGGCGCCTGGCCGGTCGGCACCCTCCGTGTTGTCGACTCCCCCGGCGCCGCTGTCTCCTGCCGGAGAGGAGGGCTGGACGGTGGCCCGCCGCGGCCGTGGCCCGCGGGCTCCACCGGCCTCCGCATCGGTTTCTTCACCACTTTCGTCCGCCTCCGCTTCGTGTGCTCCACTGCCTTCGCCACCTCCGACACCATTAGCGAACACATGCGGGTTGGCGATAGGAACGCTGGAGCGGCACGAGGCGGACAGGCGCGCCCGCGATGCCAAGCGGGCGCGCTTGGCCGAACAAGAACGGGCAAAGGCGGCAAACCGTATGTCTGGGGCGGGCAAGGAGTCCGTCCTTCGCAGCGGTGCTCTATGACCCAGAAGACCCCGCTGGTCCTCAGGTGTCTGACAGGGCCCCATCCATGGCTCCTCCCCTCCACCACCCAGGATTGGGCATGCTGGCTCAAAACGCCCCCCAGCCGGTCCTCCGTCTCCATCTGACGGAGGAAGCCCAAGGATTCGGCCCAGAGTGGAGCGCCGTTCTGCGGAATCGAGCCGTAACTCCCAGACCGAGTTGTCCGGTCCAGGTTGCCAGGCCAGGTCACCAGGTATATGTTATTCAGGCCAGGCATATTTTTGTCACCTGCCTGCCGGGGGCGGATAGGGCAACTGCTCCCGCTGCCGTGCGTTGAAACCCGGTCGGTTATATTTCTGCCCCGCAATGTTTGGGAGGTCCCTTTTTCCCAAACCACAACCACTGCAACTACCTGCAAATTGCAAAAATTCAAATCAAAGAGGCCCCATTACCGAGCTCGAGTCACCTATCAGCATGAAATCTTCACCAATCGATGTTCCATAGTCGTTTTCCTGCTCTTTCTATAACATAGTGACCTTGTGTCAGGTCAAATGTCACCAAAAACACACAAAAACACCAGCATTGGGTGCCGACAACCCCATGCTCAGAGCCACCGAAAAAGACCTAACCAGAAATCGGACAAGTGCGTTGCCCGCGCACGTAATAGCCCTATCCCAGTTCTATCGAATGCACTGTCACAATCTTACAGTATGATCATATTTATTATTTCCCGGTCGCTGTAAGCTCTTCGCTGTAAAGAAGCAATTCGAACAAAAAGTGATTTCCTGTTTTTTACATACCCTGACGAAGGTTCTGAGCCTAGGGAACGGTCACGGGATGGAGCAGATGCGATAGGACAAGCCTGCCCTCTTCGGCATCGTCGGATAAATGCCCCTCCCCCCCCCCCCCACACACACAGCCCCTCAAACACAATCTCACACTCCGCGACGTAATCGTCACAAAGTCTCCGCGGCGCGGGACGCCCGCCGGCCAGTCCGTGTACGGAGGGCGAGCCGGACAGGCTCGACGTGCCACCGGCGGCACTAGCGCCACCCCCGGCGTGTCGGGAGCCCACCAGATGGCGCTCCCGCCCCTTGGCGTCGTGCCGTGGCACGGCGTTTTGACGCTCGTTGTCGTGGTGATCATCGTCCTGTTTGTGTGAGTGGACATAGCTGCGCGCGTCGGGGGAAGCGCGTGCAATTAGCCAGGGGGTGGTATTGTGGAACTACACGGTGAGAAGTCATATGTGTGTGTCGTCTCACGACAGTACATCGTTTGGAAAGGGTCGCCGGCAGTGGATCATAAAACAAAGGTATTACGACGAGATGATGGGCCCAAAGCGCGATAACTTATAGGCCATGTAGAACGGATTTCATTAGGCAAAATTTTGCGAACATAAAGATCGTTGGAAATGGACTTAATTTAAACGGGCTGTTCTACATTTGTATGAGGTTTTAAACTGAAGTTGCCATCTTGAAGATCATTCGGTACAGGTCACAACCCTGCCCTCCTGTAAAGCTAAACCATTTAAGTTTCTAGGCTACACATGTGCGTCCATGACACCATAGTAGCATCATTCAAATCCTGCCCTTTCATCGACCATGCAGCGATCAATGCCAAGAAAATATTGCCGAGTCGTTCATATCTGGCGTAGTAACCACGATTTACTGATATAACGGCTTGGTAATGGTAATGGCCTCTCCATCAATGTTGTGCGAGGTTTGATGACGAAATGAAACGATGAGGCATTAAGGAGCATATTCACTAAACAGAGAAATTGTGTCTAGAGCAGCCGTTCCCGCCAAGTTTACCAATAGTTCTATGTGACCTTATGTCATCGTATTAGACGTTTGCTTCAACATCGTAAAATGCGGTACATTCTTTTGAAAACAAATCGTCAACGAAACGTGCGTGATGACGTCCGTCGAAAGTGTCACCGTTATGTTTCAAACACATTATCGTAGCATATGATAAGTGGGGACGTGGGACACGGGAAATCAACCGTGATCGCCGTCTGAAATAACCAAAATAACATGTCGATCTCTCGGACCGTGTTACTAACTTAGCTGTTGGCTTATGGATCGTTTTGACTTTCTGGAAAAGGAAGCGTCATATATATTTGGATGAATTGTACTGCTGTTCAACGATACGGAACCCCAGAATGGCCCGAAACCGAGTCGGCAGACCATGACAACATATTGAGCTCCTAGCGCAATTGTCATGTTAACTCCACGGGGGTTTCCCATATATTCCACACGGCATTTTGTCATGCAGTCTTTGTTATTCTGAGTAATCCTTCGCTATTGTGGTATCAATATTGTTTGATCTTTTGACGCACAATCCCCTGCATACGATATATTGTCATGCGACTTTTTGCCCACCTGCCTTGCGGTATGCTGCTCGTTGCCATGTCGCATCTGTATTGCTATTCAACGCGCGGCCTTGATTGCATCAAACTTCATTTGAATGTCTCCCTCACCGAGTTTCTAACTATTGTTGCATTCATTTTTCTCTGCCAGATCAACCAGGACCTTGAGCCCCCCCCCCCCCCCTCTGAGCCCTTGACACTACTCTGAGCCCCTCACCCCAATACATGTCAGCAAAACAGGATAGCTGAGCCGACGAAATGCAGCCTAGAATGCATGTTCATCAAATACCTAAACGCATCGCTATCAATATTGCCATCACCCTATATCACATCAGATGCTGATGGGAAATCACCCTAAACTTCAAAAATGTTTTAATTACGACCAAAGATATGTTCCAAGTCTCAGTTTGCCATCAGCAGCGCAAATCAAAGTGGCTGAAATCCGGGGAATGATCAGGATTTGGGGCGAGGTTGGGGCAAATTTATTTGCTCAGCCCAACAACCGATTCAAACGATTGTAGAAAGCAATACCCCTGGGTCAGCCTTCATAGAAAGCAAAATAAATGAAATGAAAAGCTGTTCTATCGTGCAGGAAATTGCATGCCACCATCCCCATCCCCGGGGGGTTCACAACCTCAGAAGCGATATGCGAGCAACAGCGCACATTTTAAGACTACGCCACAGAGTTCCGTGTTAGAGTTTCATTTTTGCTGGTCGTGGTTTCTTAAATCTTAACCCTGTGCATGCATAAAATGCACAGGTGAATGAAGCTCGAACATTTTTCTTTCAATTTGCAGGTCCAAGTGTGCGTCAAAGCACTCCTCTTCGAGATATTAGGTAAAACGTAGACAAATGCACGCGCTGCGATGCCTAGGTGCGGATAAAATCCCGTCTCCGCCAACTTTTTTCAACTAGGTCGAGATAAAAAAAACAGAGTAAGCATAGTCACTGACTGGCAAATTAAAATACTAAACATTGCCATTTGGTGTATATGTGTGTGTATATATACATATATATATATATATATATATATATATATATAGATATAGATATAGATATATATATATATATATATAGATATAGATATATATATATATATATATATATATATATATATATATATATATATATATACAACGTCATAGCATATAAAGGCAAAATCCCGGAAATCAGTTAATTTAGAACGGTCTCAAAACAAATTGCAACCTTTATTTGCATGCATGTATACATTTATGCATTTATACAAGCATGCATATATATGTATATATGTGTGTGTGTATATGTATGTTTATATATATATATATATATATATATATATATATATATATATATATATATATGATATATATAGGAGGGCGAAGCGCTGTCAGGCTAAGTCTGTAGCGAGCAACGTAGATATATGGTATGCCTCTTATATCTATAAAATGAACTTTTTAGGTGATATATGGTCAACCGGGCTGCTCGCAATAACCGTGTGGCGGATGTAGCGTGGCTGCATTGTGCTTGAGACTTGAATACGGCTGACGTGACCCGGGGCGGCGGGGGCCGACCAGAGACGACCGTCCGCCCCAATGGACCGGCGCGGCCAAAGGCAGGCCCGAACCATGGGCCAAGTACAGAAGGTGTGGCGCTGGCGGCCACTGCCGAGCAGGACCGGCGCTGTCGTCTCAAGGCCGGCGGTGATGACCCGGTGACCTTGCCGCTGCCTGTGTACCAAGGCATATTTCATGGCAACTACATGTTTGGAATCCTGAAATTACCAGATGCCTCCAGACATGTAATATTTAGAGCCTCCGGAAGCCTGTCATAGGTGGATCTTTGGGGCGGGGGGGGGGGGGGGGCACGGGGCCATGGCCCCCCCAAAAACTCTGGGAGTGTGTTTTGCCCCCCCCCCAAAAAAAAATTTCCCAGAACTTTATAAAAGCTTCGTCTACTTATCGTCTGTTGTAACTTTGATGGTGTGGTATCAAACATTTCTTTCCGTGTCGGAAAAACAACTTCATGAAGAAAAGTTGGCAGCGATTTTAATATCAAAACAAAACGCATGTTGACGTGGCTTAGTCATCTCAGCGCAAATACCGTGTTTGATAAGTGCACTGGACCTCGGATCCCACACCAGCCAGCTGGCGACGAACGGTTGCCCCCGCACCCAAAAAACAACAACTCCAGGCTAGATCCGCCCCTAAAGCCTCTAGGACAAGAAAGACACTGAGAGACATATAACCCTCCTGGGAAAGCAGTTCACAGCCATGCCGTACTGAATACTTTACGCCCTCTAGTTTCTAAGATGCACGCTCGTAAAAACGTTCGGACTATTTTAAGGTCAATGAATTGTGCATGGCGCTATAAAAACGCCTTTTGAATTTTGTTGCCTTATTGGCCATGCGGCGTCCAAGCCGAAGAGGAGCATATTCAACTAGTCAATTATATCTGACGCTCGTTAGCAGGATTTCCAGATATAAAGGACGCCACTTGGCTCCCAACCAATGTCGTGCAAATTGTGGAAGCTTCAATCACGCATTTCATTTCATTTCATTTATTTGTTTGAGGCGTTTCGGCCTGTTCAGACCATTTCACGCCTGGATGATGTTATTTTAAATTGGTGTAATTATGTATGTGAAGAAAAGTGTACGTTTATTGACATTTACAAAGCTTGAAGCAAACCGGCAAGTCTGAGAAAGTTAAAGACAATGTTAAGCAGTTCAGGATGGTCATCGCCAAGGACGTTTTTTAAAGAAAACTCGATATTTTGGTTACGACAGAAAGCCTGCATATCTTTGCGGTGCTGTTGATATTTTGTGCACTCAATAACAATGTGTTTAACCGAAAGTGGATGATCGCACGGCTGACAGTGAGGACGAGGTTGACTTAAGTATATGTAACTATGTGTGAGTGTAGTGTGTCCGATTCGTAAACGGGCTAGCACCTTCTCCTCCAGACGGTCTTTACGATGCGTTGATGGCCAAGGTGTAATGTCTGGTTTGATATCATGAAGTTGTGTTCTGGTAGTATCGGTCCATTGTTGTTGCCAAAAATGTTTTGTCATTGTGCGAATGGAATGTTTTGTAGATGCATGATCAGCAGGGATCTCCATGATGTGTTGGTTTGTCAAAGCTTCCTTGGCTAGTTGGTCAGCCCGTTCATTACCCATGATGCCTGTATGTCCTGGAATCCATAGAAATTTGATATTCATATCCTGTGTATGTAATATATGATAGAGATTGACGATTTTAACAAGGAGGTGGTGTGTGAAGTCTGGGTCAATAAGAGATTGCACAGCTGTCTTTGAAACCGAACAAATCACTATTGTCTTCGTTTTGTGGGTGTGTTGTTGAATGTGTTGCAATGCAAGGAAAAGAGCAAATAATTCAGCCAAATATACTGAGGTGCCATCCGGTAACCGACAATTTTTATGGCAATGTTCAGTGCAAATAACTGCACATCCGGTGTGGTTATTGGCCTTGGAGCCATCGGTGTAAATAAAGCTGCTATTTTGATTGTTGAAAATTAGACGATTAAATGTTTGTTGAACATAACTTGTTGTGAAAATGCGTTTGGGCTCATCAAAAAGAAGCATAACTTTCCGAGGGGTTAACTGCCATGGTGGTACTATTAAAACAGGTGGCATGGAAGAAGGCGGTAAAGTAAACTGAAGAGTGGTACAGTAGATAGTGGTTCGAGATGCTATTGTAAGTCCTGAGCGACGTTCTGCCGGTCCTACGTAGTTATGGTGAATGTGAGGTAAGACATGTATGGATTTAAATGCTGGGTGACTGGGATTTTGTCGCACTTTTGTGATGTATCTCAATGTGTGTTCCATTCGTCGGAGGGCAAGAGGCATAACATGCGCGTCCACTTCAAGCGCTGAAATCGGGGAAGTACGCAGAGCTCCTTGGGCAACTCGCAAAAACATATTTTGTATGGTGGATAGTGGTTTGAGAGTG